TTGGAAAAAATTCGATAAGACTTACCTTCTTAGAGACAGGCATGGAAATAAATCCGAATTGATTAGGAAACAAAATCGAATTTCGATATTTTCGAGTGAAAATCAAGTACGTTACGGTGAAGTTACTCGAAAGAGATAAGTTTTTCAAAACCCTAATCAATACAATTGAAGAAGAAGATGAAACAATGGCGACTCGAATTATCAGAAGAGTTAAAAGACGCCAAGAAGAAAGAGCGGCAGTTCTATATGTTTTTTGCCTACGGATTGGTTTTTGAAACGGCTTAAAAGGGTAAAATGGTCATTTGGAGAAGAGCTGCAGGCCCGTTAATCTCGAGTTTGTCCCAATAGATAGTAATGGGCTTTTTAGTGGATTGGCCCAAATTGTACATTTCGTGGTAATTAAATAATTACGTCGATAATTAGTAGTCGCATTCACATTTATCAAAAAAGACTATATATTAACTGTTTTCAATTTTCGTGTAAAGGAATTTTCATTTTTGTGAATGTATATCAAACCCAGAGTCCAGAGATTATGGTAATCCACTGTTTGATTATTAATTTAATCCGAATTCGAAGCGAAAGATAATTACGTAAAAAAGAGAAGAGAGGAGAGAGAACACGAAACTTTTTTTTTTCCTTAAACACGAAATCGATCGTCTCCAATTCAAACTTCCATTCTTCGTCTCCGGTAATTCGCAGTCCCGTTCTCGTCTTCGTCGCCGGAAGTCTTATCTCTGTCGTATCTAGTCAGCCTGAACGATTTCGATTGGTTTTTATCAGGTGATCCATCTTTATATTCTGCTAGAAATTCGAAAGTTTGTAGAAAATTTACGTTACCCGGATCGGAGTATGAAACTTTTGTGCCTATTGTTTTGTGGTTAATCGAGCTCCTACTCGTTCTCTCTTGCGTCTATTTTGCTTAATTTTTCTGGTATATACAAGGATGGAGTTGGGAAATTTATAGTTGACTGATTGAGCAATTGAGATTACTGTAGATCTGCGAGGAGGAATTGCGTTAGAGTTCTTGAGGTTGTTACATGATCTGGTTTCGAATTTCTAGTGGTGTTATGGATTTGTTCAATTTGGAAACATTACATATCGGAATCGAGTAGCTGTAGGGTCCTTTATCTTAATTTTTGTGTTCATTTCTTTGATTCCTAAATTCGAGTAGCTAAGCATGTACAAAGTTAACCTGATCTATCTTTATCTCTTGTGCTTCTTATTGCAGACAAAGGTAGATTCTCGGGGTTTAGTTTTCTTCTATGAGACGGACATGTTGCATTTGGTGCTTTATGTTTAGGTAATGAAGGCTGTATGTGATAGATTTCTTCCTGCAAAGTGTTCATCATCAAGCGCATGTGAAAAGTGTGATAAATCCTCAACGTCTCTAGTTTCAGATTTGGCATCTAGGGATAACGAGTCAGAGTTGACGTTATGCCCGTATGTGTCTGCGCCTTCTTCCTCAGATTCTCAATCATATAGGGAAGCTTCAACTTCCGAGCATAAGCCAGATTGCACCACACATAATGGTTGGACAGTGATTTTGAATACAGCTTCTATGGCAAGTGGGGCAATTAAGAGATTTCAAGAGCGTGTTTTAGGGCCGAGTAGAACCGGTATTTCCAGCCTTACTAGTGAGATATGGCTACTGGGTGTCTGTTATAAAACCTCAGAGGGTGAATCCTCAGAAGAAGCAGATTCTGGCCGTGTATTGACTGCATTCAAACAAGATTTTTCATCCTTAATATTGATGACGTATCGTAGAGGTTTGTATATTCACTTAAAACTCAAGAAGCAAGCAAAAATGTGTTCACACAATACTCACTGAGTTATTTTACAGGTTTTGAGCCTATTGGAGACACAACATATACTAGTGATGTAAACTGGGGTTGCATGCTTCGAAGCAGCCAGATGCTCTTCGCGCAGGTCTGCTTTTGTGAGTAGTTATCATCTTTTAGCTCGAGGCTTCAAATTTCTTAACGTATCTCTAAAATCCCATATCTTTAACAGTCACTACTATTCCAAAGGCTGGGAAGGTCTTGGAGGAAAAAGGAATCCGAGGTTAGCTAGATGTGATATCCAGTTACTGAATATGCAATATTAGAAACAAAAATCTAGTTTGATCATGATTTCAGACCTTTTAAAATTGGCTTGTTTGGTTTGAAAATGCAGCCGCCTGAACAGGAATACTTAGAGATCTTAGAACTTTTTGGTGATTCTGAGGCTTCAGCATTCTCGATTCACAATCTTATACTAGCTGGAGAATCTTATGGCCTGGCTGCTGGGTCATGGGTAGGACCATATGCTGTTTGTCGATCATGGGAATCGTTAGCTCGGAAGAAAAGAGGAGAAACTGCTGTTAAACACCATTCTTTTTCCATGGCTGTTCATATCGTTTCTGGCAGCGAAGATGGAGAGAGAGGTGGAGCTCCAATTCTCTGTATAGAAGATGTCACCAAATCTTGTTTGGGATATTCAGAAGGAAAAGCTGAGTGGACGCCAGTTCTTCTCCTGGTCCCACTAGTTCTCGGGCTTGACAAAGTGAACCCGAGGTTTGTGATTTTATCAAATTGGTTGCCAGTCTATATGTACTGCACGTTTAAAATGTTGTCCCTTTTAGTTACATACACGCATGAATCTAAATATACAAATGGAGAGGATATGATGGTAGCGGAGTTTGTGTGCAGGACTGACTTATTATCGAATTTGGCAATGCAAATCATTGAAGTCTTCCTGAAAAATGAATTCTAAATTTGTTTTCAGGTACCTTCCATCTCTGACAGCTACTTTCACATTCCCTCAAAGCCTCGGCATTTTGGGCGGCAAACCAGGTGCATCAACTTACATAGTTGGAGTTCAAGAAGACAAAGGTTTCTACCTTGATCCGCACGATGTTCAACAGGTTTTCTTTGACACTCCTCAATAATGCTTATTTTAGAATCAAACAAGAATTGTAATTACCAAAAATTACTCAAGATTTGAATCTGGCATGCTTTGATTTGAAGCTTGAGACATTAAAGGTGGTCCCAATTCCTTATATTCTCTCCATCACATTCATTTATCTAATGTCCATTCTCTAATTGGTTTGGAGACTGATATTAATCAGTCCATGTGTTTCATCTCATATTTTGTTCTCACTGATTGAACCTTATTGATAACGGTTGGTAGGTAGTGACAGTCAACAAAGAAAACCAAGATGTTGACACATCTTCTTACCATTGCAAGTGAGTTTGATTGATCAGTTTTTGCCTCACTAAGTTCTTTGTCTCCACATGATTCTCGCTGATTATGACCGTTACTAAATCTGCTACAGTACCATCCGTCATGTTCCGTTGGAGTCACTTGACCCATCGCTAGCTCTCGGATTCTTTTGCCGGGACAAAGGTACTACTAGTTTTGTAGGGATAGTCAAATCCAGTATACGGTTTTTGAAATTCCGTCCATTTTGGTTTTGATTATTCGAGTTTGTGTTTTTTCGGTTCATTTGCCTATACTGATATCTCTTGCTGCTTTGTAACAGATGATTTTGATGATTTCTGTATCCGAGCGACGAAGCTAGCTGGAGACTCTAATGGCGCTCCGTTGTTCACTGTGACTCAATCCCACAGAACAAGTGACTGTGAAATTGCAGAAACCAGCACAGTTGCGTATACAGAGATCTCTGGTGAGGAACATGAAGATGAATGGCAGTTACTTTGAACGGTTTTTTTACTATATCCATTCTTCTTCATTGTGTGACTTTGTCAAAAAATTATCACATTTTACATCTTCAAATACCATTCTTTTTTACATCGATACTAAAGATTTGATGTTGTACTATAAAAAAAAAACTAGATTCTCATCGTTTTATTGTATTAACTTTGACTTTAGGTCAAAAGTGTTTTGCATAAGATTAGATTTGAATCTTCAGACGTAGATTGAAGAATATGAGAAAGGAAGTCTCGAGAAACCAGAGGGAGTGTTGACATGGCTCCACTTCCCGCCATTTTTCTCCGCCGTAGTCGTCATCATCATCGTCCCACTTTCTTCGCCGCCAATCATCGCCACCGCCTGGCCACTCAAGCTTCCCGCGAAAACCGAAGTCGTCACCGGAAGCCGAATCGTCTCCATAACAAGCTTCCATTTCATCGAATCGTCTTCGATTTCCCAACGAGGCTGACTCTGTCTCTCACTGTCAACGAAACACCATAACTTACAACCTCTGAAATCTCCGACGGATTCAGTCGCGGCGGTGCGACCTCTCGGACTTAAATCAGGAAACGGCCAAACATTTTCGATTACAGACCAAGAATTCGTAACCGGATCGTAAATCTCAGCGTCAGATCGGAATTGTCCTTGCGTCTCCGTCCCGTAACCGCTCAAAACGCAGAATCCAAGATCCGACGCCGTCGAGAATCCGTGACACTCGTCTCTTCCTTCCGACATCGGAGGAAGCATCGACCACTCGTCTTTCTCCACATCGTAAACTTCCGCCGACCGGAGAGCGTTCTTCTGATCGTCGTGACCTCCGGCGACGTAAACCTTCGTCGAACCAACAGACGCACAGGCGAAAAACGATCTCGCCGCCGACATCGGTTTCCCTCGCTTCCACCTCCGTCCGCTTCCTTCTCCGGCGGAGAAATCAAGAACATACACATCCTTCACCGGCTGCAACGTCTCCGGATCCCAACCTCCGATCAACAACACTTTCCCGGATTCCTGAATCGCGACGCACTCGCAGAACAGAGGAATCCGTTCAGGAATCGCAACGCGGTGCCACGTGTCCAGCGTTGCGTTGTAAACGCTTAAACCGTAAAGTGGCGTTCCAGTCACAC